CTCCCGTAAATTCAGGGGCTCACAGTACGATAAAAAATAAGAATTTTTTGTCTTATGAACTATATGTCTATCTCCTCTTGTTTTCGAGATACAGAGCGACAAAATCAAATTTTTTAAACAGAATTTTTACGAAAATTTCCAAACGGTGCGAAATATTTTTGTAAAATTTGGTATTCCGGGGTTTTTAAGGACGCCAAATACGCTGGTCTAATTATTTTTTGGATATTTCATAGAGGGCGCTAGTTACGCAACATTCCTATTACATTTTAGGTTCTAATTTTTTTAATGTTAGGTTTTTTACCATTCGGGCTCCAATTTCTAATGTACAATTTTATTTTCTAAAAATAATGTACTCTTGTTAGAACTTCCTAATGTGGACGGATTTTGAGAAGAAAGGCTTTTAATTGAACTCTTACAATATTACGGTGTAGAAAATAAGTGACTTTTCTCAAAGTAGGCTTATGTCAAAACTTATTGATGGATGTCTCATAAACAACAGTAATATTTTAAACCCTAAATAACTTTATATCAAAATTGTAGTGATTGTTAGTGACTGTAGTTAGTAATGACTAAACAAGGCCCAACCTGCATAGTAAATATACGTTAACTCCCATTCCGTCTTTCACTGCTACACGACGGTAACCATAATCACCGTTGTAAACACATTTTAGATTTAGGAGAGAGTTACGAGGAGCCCACGTATTCAGTGTTTTTCAAATGAATTTTGCAAGTCGAGTTTAATTGACTGTACATAATAAATTTCACATTTCCTTATTAATGTGTTTCATAAGGCTAATTATTTAATTATGTAAATAACATTGTGAACTAAATTTTAAATTAAATTTTTTTAGTACGAAAATTCCTAGCGACGCGGCACCCCAGAATCCCCCATACCATCCGTCACTGCTAAAAACTTATCAGTGTCAAGTTGTGATTATGAACATAAAGAATTCCGGTGGCGCCAGACTTTTGCATAGTTTTGAAAACTGATTTTTTTATATATGTAGAAGACCAAGATATCACAATTGAGCCAAACATGTCTGAAAGCAATTATTGAAGCTTTAACATATACATGGTGTAGAAAATTTAAATTATTTTTAAATTTCTCAATAATTTTGGAAACATTTGTAGTAACTATTTGAAAGAATGGTATGCCCTACGACTTTGATAAACTATGCGATAGTCCTTTTTTTTTGCTTATTTTTCTTGTCATTCTGTCGGCTTTGTATTTGTTATTTGGATTTATGTCTGTCACTTATGAGAGTGATATAAATTGAATTGCCACATAAATTTATTAGAAAGTGAAAAATCCGGTGTTCATTCTATTATTTTCTAGTCTTTAAAATATAAGAAAAATAATTTTATTTTACTGTAGGTATTTTAAAAATGTTTCGAGTTATTACTTTTTTACTTACATTACCATTATTAAGAATTTTAACAGAATTTAAAATAAAAAACACACAAAAGAAATTTGTAGAATTTGTTTTTATTGTAAACAAAATGTATTAAATAAATTGTTGAATTAATGTAGAAATTTTATATTTCACTAGGTAGCGAGGTACGAGGTAACAAGGCTTGGCCCTGAAAAAAAAACGCAACATTTCTACGCAATAGCTTTTTAACTACAATGTTGGAAAATCATTTAAAATCGGAAAAAATCATTGGCATAGATATTACGCTTTTTTTATTATCTCTAGGAAAACGCAAAATTCATACGGCAATGATTTTTTCGACGCCTTTCAAAATCAAATTAATTCAACTGGAGGTTGCGGAAGGGACTCGAATTAAATTCTGATGAGGTGACTAAATTTTGAAGTTCGTCACTGTTTAGATTTAACTAACAGGGAAAATTATACAGGCACAGACAAAAAAAGTCCAAACGCAAGAGAGCCACATATCATTTCTGAAGAATTTCGGAGAAAAGTGACATTTTTGGTTAAGAACGCCCAAATGTGGGTCAAAACTTATTTTTCCTAAATTTTTATACTCGTAGTAACGGTAATATAGTTATTTTTCGTAGTAATTTTAGGCGCTGAAAACGCTGCTATTACCATTGTATATATTTACTTACACAATGCTATTACCTATTAAAATTTATCCTGACCCCGATATTTCTCAGAAATATTTGGGTGAAAACTGATTTTTTTCCTAAATTTTGTCCAAATATATAATTTTCGTAGTATTTTAAGTACTTAGTAAAATTTACCCATAACCTCGATATTTCTCAGAAAATCCACAGAGATTTCTTGAAAAAAAAAACAACTGTTTTTGGGGGTAAACTTTTTACCCCTTTAAAATATTTATCACTAGAAAAGAAAATATACATGTCTCGTATTTTTTATCCTCTGCAACATGCGAAGTTTCATTGAAATCCGTGATTAACTTACAATAAACTTACAATTTGTACAAATTCACTGAATGTGTACAATTATGTCAACTAGCAATACTACGCACCATAAAGAATCTCAGAATTTCGACGCTAATAAGTATATGAATATTTGGTCATTTAATAGCTAAACTATGTCTCTTTGAAACTATTCTTATACAAAAAATCTAACAAAATACTGTTTGAAGGAACTTATAATGATTACTTCGTATTTAAAACTGTATTCTGGTAAAAATCCTAATCACAGGTAATTTTTTCCTGTCCTATTGTTCCTGTTTCCTGTTTTTCCTGTTTCCTGGTTATTTTTTATGAAAATAGTTTCGCCTAACTAAAAATCTCACACTGACCTTTATCTGATAGGATTGTTATTTAAATTTAAATCTGTATTTTATCATTCTTGGTTTAATATTCTAAATTTGCTTAAGTGTGTATTTTGCTTGTTTGTTAAATTCCTTATTACAAGAATATAAAGCGTTGTTGTATATACGTTCGTAATACCATTAACTGACTGTACTTTGAAGATGTTCCAATTTATTTGTGATATCTCGTACCAATAGTACGTTTTTTTGTCTATGGAATTGAATTCTTTCGCGAGCCGTTCACGGCTTCACTTGCTCTTCTTAAAATCCTATTACATTTGAAACTCTGAAGTCTTGTGCACAAGAAAGATGTAATTAAATGTTCGTATGATAGAGCAAATTGACATCTTTAAAACATGAAATTTTTAATAATGAATTGAATTGAAATTTATAAACAACACTACCTACCCTAGGAATTTTTATTGAAAGAGTTTTCAAGAATATTGAAGGTAAATAAAAAATCTGTATTATCGAAAAAATTTACGAGAGAAAATTTAACATTGAATAGTTTTTCAGGCTAATACTTTACGCACCTTTTGTCAAAAACGCGTCTAAATAATGTTCAAAATAATTAAAAAAAAATAAATTTGCAGCATATCGTGTGAATACAATAAACATTGTGATTGTAGAAATCCCTCGACCTGTAAATATTAAAACAGACGTGTACAAAGAAAATATAAGAAGCCAGAATTTGAGAAATCTAAAATATTATTGGTGAAAGAAACATTAGTGTAGAAATTCTGTATGTTGTAGGGGGCATCAGGGTGTATCATACAGCATATCCTACATGGAGGAAGCACACTTACGGCGACAGTGTAGACACGTGACAAAGAGAGAAATATAGTTTGGGTACTATTTTTCTCTGTCGTGCAGGCACGTGATTGGATAACGCAACTCCCTTCGCTCTCTAGCGTAATATATGCACAACGATGAGAGAGGGGGGGAGGGATGGAGACAGAGAGAGAGAGACAGACAGAGAGGAGGAGGGAAAGGGAGGGAGAGAGAGAGAGAGAGAGGGAATACCCAAGCTATCGCCTTTTTTCTCTACAGTATTTACAAGCGGTACTTCCTCCATGTAGTATATGCTCTAAAGGGTGTATAGTCCCTAAAAGTATTCATAATTTTTAATCATATTTTTCACCTTAGACTATAGAAATGTAGACATCTCTAAAATTCTTAACATTCTATTTATAGAATAAGTAAATTAGTTTTAGAATTAGCTTTATGTTTTCATTTATGCTGTAAACTTATATATTCTAATTTCAAAAAAAGAAAAAAATTAAAGAGTTAAGAATTTAAGAGTTAAATGTGCAGATTCAAATTCAAAAGTACTAAATACTTAAATATGATATTTTTAAAGAAATTCGGCGGTATTTATATTATTAGTTTCTAAGAATCGTTTATTTCTTTCTTTTTGGCTAATAATGATCCAAGGAACAATCTTCCGAATTACCTAAATGATTTAATAAAATAATAATAATAAAATCTAAAAGAAAATAGTAGTATTTTTAGAGATATACTCTTTACCTTTCATCAATAAGAACATTTAGATTCAAAATAACAACAGAACATTTTAAATTTTGACTATTATTATGATAATGTTTTATTCAGGGAAGACACAAGTTATAGAATTTCGGTTCCAGGTCTGAACACTTTATAGGCCGTGAAGCAGGGCAGCTGAAACTGTTTATTACAGACTTGATATATTTCACCGGCAGTTGTTATTCTTGTAACACCCCATGTTCTTCATGTGCATCAGTGAACTTTACTAAATATGTGGAGAAGGTAATGTGTGCTTAAGGAATATTGTGGTTGCTTTATTAAGTTGTTAGACATATATGAGTAGATTGAATAAATATGGAGTAGTAGTTGGGTAACTAAAACTAATACAATTAATTTTATATCAATTATTTATAAGTTTTGGGGAAAAATTATCAGTATATATGCAATGTTAATTTTTCACATGTAATCAAACATGTCCTGTAGTTATGTTGATACTTAAATTAAACATGTAGATTTAAAGAAAAACATTTTTTAAAATAAATTTCAACTGAAACAAAATTTCCACAGTTAATTTATGAAACTATATTTTTTTTTCTTAAAAACTATAATTTACACAAAAATTAATTTATTCAGTAAAATGTTGATTCTTTAATTATTACATTTATGTTCAGGGCCTTGTACCTGTATGGACTCCATAATGAGATCGATTTTACTAACATTATACATACAATATGTCATTTTTGTTTTAGGACAATTTTCACAATATAAACTTTTTCATTGCACTAATATGGTATTTTTAACATTTATGGGCGAGGATTGCATGAAAATGTCCGTCAGTGTTTACATTTTTTAATTTACCTAAATTTTGACATTTTTTCCAATATTGAGGTTTTTCTATTCTGTCTTTTTCCTAATATTCACAGTGACCTATAGTATATTTTCTTTTTATTTCCCTCGAAATTTTTTCAATTCTTCGTTTCCTATTACCCTTTTTTTATCAATTGTTTGTTTGTCGTCCATCATCAATTAGTATAATACTTATTTATAAAGTGTTCTTATGCTGTACACCTAAAATCGAAATTGGGAAGTCACAATTTTGAACTAACGCTATAACTATATTCATTTTTATACTTCAGATACTTACTATAATTTGTAACAAATATGAATTTTATGTAATTATGCTATATTTATTTTATTTACAACTTATAGCTATAATATTACAAAAAAATCGTAGTTTAAAATTAATTTTAATAATTAACCTTTTGTTCATTTTCACGGAAATAGCACACTATTTTCTAGGATATCAATATTACCCATCATTAAATTTAGTATATTATAAAACTATAATGCTGCACTATTATACATATTAAAAATGAATATAGACTTCGATTTATTTTTGTTTCGTAATTACTGACGAAGTGTCGAAATTGTGACCAATGTGTATGACTGTAACTGATCGTGAAATCATCTTCATGTTTGGATAAATAAATTACAAGGATTCAGTTTATGTTTAAGGTTATGTCCCTGAAAGTTTTGAGTAACATAAATTTTGTAAGGTGACGCCCTTTAAGATGCAATGAACTGGAAAATGTCTTGGGATTATTCCTATTCGTCTCAATTTATCTAATAAAAACTTTTTTCTTATCCCATTTAGCACTCATTTCGATTGGATCTTGTTACAGCTAGGTTTGTAGTAAAGAAATCGAGTAAGCACATATTTTGATATCAGTTTTCTTGATAGTAAGTTGATTTTCTTTTAGAAACAAAGGGCAACATACTGTATACTACAAAGTTTTGTTTATAATATGTAAACTAAGTGTGCTTCATTTGAAACATACACTTTTTTTTCGTTCTCTTGACAAAACATTGTTCTAACAGTGGAAAAAAATTCTCAACAAATTTCACCCCTTAATTTTAATTTTAAGTACTCGCTATTTGATTTTAAAATTTTCCTGTACATTTAACATGTAAACCTGTTTTTTTTTTTAATTTTTTTATCTCAGCTGCATTACACGTTATTTTATTATCCACAGGTAATAATTATAGGGGAATCTTTGTGTTTTGAAAGTGCCCATAGTAGGATCTACATCGTGACAACGATTTCACTGCTAAAAAATCTGTTAATTTTTAAAAATATTTGTATTTTTATCATAAATGACTAGCAAATGACTTGCAGCAAAAATTAAATTTGATTTAAAAAAGGTCCTCAGTATCTAAGCTGTAGAGTTATTAGTTACGAAATAAATAGAATCAAATGCGTGTAAACTTAAAATATCCTTGTATTATCAAATTTAGCGTATTGAAAATTTGATTACAAATTACACAGCCCAACAAAAAAAAAGTGGCAGGTCCGAAAGACAAAACCATGGTATCCATGGTCCGTTTGACACGACTAGCTCTGGTTTAAGGTCAGTTCAAGGTCAAATATAGAAAATCAATTGTCAACAAACTAAACCTACGTATCCATACGTTTTTGGGGTCGCCGAATCCAAATCTGATGTCCGTTTGACTCAATTGAGGTTAGTTCAAGGTCAAATGTAGAGAATCAATTGAAAACAAAGTAAACTTACATATCTATACATTTTTGGGGTCGTTGAATCCGAATCTGATGTCCGTTTGAACTGATCCGGTCTATTTAATACTTTCTAATAGAAAAATATTAATCAACATACGAAAGATGCTTATACAAATTTTTTGGTTTTAAACCAAAGTGAAAAATTTGATTGGGTTTGAGCAGAGAGGAAGGTTTCACCAAGATATTAAAGAAGGAGGAAATTTGGGTGGCAATGAAACTATCACTGATATTGCTAGTAATACTAGTGATGACGAATATATTCCATATCACGTTCTGAAAAAGACAGGAGCAATATTACAAAAAGAAAGTAAATGATGTTCGAGATTTGGGCCTGGCAGAGAATAGAGCAGAGTTCCTAATATCATGGTTAAAGAGAATATTAAGCAAGCCGGAAAAGTGAAAGCTTTTTACTATCAGTACAGAAATAAGGAATATTTTTCTAACGATGAAGAATTTTCCTTAGGTTACTACAATGATATTGTTGGGTGAAACACTTTTAACATGGATGTTATAAACCTAACGAGTAAAGTGGACTGTTCATTGGTTCGTCAAAGAGAAGCAAGAAAGCTGTTCTACTGCATAATATAAATGTGTATGCAGCCATACCTGTAGCACATTGAAACAAGAGTGCCGTAATTTGAGGATAGTCTTACATAGGATCAAATACGAACAACATAAATGACAAATTTGTGAGAATCATCACAATAATATTGGGTCAACAATCGGTATTCACAAAAACTCCTTGCTTACTTTGATTGAGTTTAGAATTTGAGAGTATTTAGCATACCTGATCGGATCAAATAGACCTCGAATTCGGATTCAGGGACTCCAACGTATAGATATATTGGTTTACTTGGTTGGCAATTGATTTTCTACATTTGACCTTGATCTGACCTTAACCCAGACCTGGTCGAGTCAAAAAAACGTTTGGATATGTAGGCTTACTTTGTTGGCAATTGATTCTCTACATTTGACCTTGAACTGACCTTAACCCAGATCTTATAGAGTCAAACGGACACCGGATTTGGATACAGCGACCCCAAAAATATATGGATATGTAGGTATACTTTGTTGGCAATTGATTCTCTACATTTGACCTTGAACTGACCTTAACCCAGAGCTAATCGGATTAAACGAACATGGGATTCGTTTTCGGCGACCCCAAAAATGTATAAATATATCGGTTTACTTTGTTGGCAATTGATTCTCTACATTTGACCTCGAACTAAACCTAAACCAGATCTGATCGAGTCAAACGGATACCGGATTCGGATTTAGTGACCCCAAAAACGTATAGATACGTAGGTTTAGTTCGTTGGCAATTGGTTTTCTATATTTGACCTTGAACTGACCTTAAACCAGAACTAACCATGTTAAACGGACACCGTATTCGGATTCAGCGACCCGAAAACCATATGAATACCATGGTCTTGTCTTTCGGACCTGCCATTTTTTTTGTGGGGCTGTGTTATTGTACAACTGTTTGTTGTACATTATGCAGGGTGTTTATTTATTTATTTATTTATTTATTTATTTATTTATTTATTTATTTATTTATTTATTTATTTATTTATTTAAGTTACACCACCTGACAGTTAAAACCAATTAATAGGTGGGAGAAATAGCTAATAAAAATAGATGCATTAACAAAATCAGATTACTAAAGTACAAGAGTAAAAAAACAGTTAACAATAATACAGATTATAAAAGTTATAAAAAATTATAAAAGATAACCACTACGCATATAGGACTAAAAAAAAAAAAATACAGTCGACAAAGTTAAAATAAATGCTAACATAAATACCAACAAAACAATCATTTTAAAATTCAATTAAAACTAGTATACATATAATTATCCTAAAGCAGGTCATATAAAGAATGATTAAAAATTAATATTGCAAGTTATGACTAGAAAAAACTCTCTTAATATGGGATATATTATCATGAAAAATATCCACAAGGTTCTGCATTCGAGAGTGATTTTCAACCATTGTATACAACGGTGAAAACTTTAATAAATTCGTTCGAGGTGTGGGAAGATAGAACAAAGACGAAGACCGGGTTCCAGTGCGGGGAACATGAAAACACAAGGCAGCTAAAAGATCCGGACAATCAATCAATCCAGTAATGATTTTATACAGGGTTATTAGTGAGTTACACATACGTCGTGTAGCCAGGTCATTAAGGACAAATCGTCCAAGCAAAGTACCATGAGGTATACCCTGTGGTGGATAACAGCCATCAGACTTGAACCATAAATATTTTACATATCTCCGTTGAATGTTCTCAAGTCTTTTACAGCGAACTATATAATGTGAATTCCATACTAGAGAGGCATATTCCAGTTTGGGGAGAACAAATGCATTGAACAATAAGGATACTGCCTTAATTCCCGTAAATTGTTGTGAATTCCTCACAATGAAACCAAGATTTCTATATGCTTCACGTTGAATATTATTAACGTGTTCATTAAAGTCTAGTTTAGTATCAAATGTTACACCAAGATCCTTAAAAGAGCTACATTTCCTAATCAAGTTATTACCAACAGAATAATTATACGTAATCGGGCTAATCTTTCTAGTGAAAGTCATGGAATTACACTTGGATAAGTTTAAAGGTAATAAATTCGTAGCACACCAGTTACTAACTCTATCTACATCAGATTGAAGCCGTAGACAGTCATTCAGATCACCCACGGATAAATACA